CTATTTCTTAGCCTGATGGCTAGTTGCTGGAGCCTCATTTTTGAGAGGCATAGACTTTTCCTCGAGGTTAACTCGAGTTGAATCATCAGAAGCTACATGGACTGAAGTCTCATAAGAGACTCGATGGCACTTTCGTGCTTTCGTGGGAGTGGACTTACCAGAGGAGAGAAACTCCTAGTACTTCGTCTGGTCGAACTCTATGACTAGAGTTTCAACATTGGTTCCCACTACGATCGTGTCTGGCTGCACCACCACCAATTCATCAGAAAGAATGGCTTCTCCCACTATGGCCACTATCTTCTGTCGGGTCGAAAATTTTAAGTTGATTGATTCTTATTTTAAGAAATGAGTTCGATCACTTAGTACGAATCTCTTACAATCACTCACTCTCTCGATTACAGAGGAAGAGAATATTAATTCGAATTCTCTTTGTTTAAAAGTGGATTCTTAGTGATGAAAGGATGCTTCTCTCAATGCTCAAGCCAAGATTGCCTCCCGTTGACAATCAGAACAAGATCACAAAGCTTCTAACATTGACTTAAATCACGAGAATGCAGACTCTGACCTCCCTTCACGCGATAGCCAAAAATCTTCTAAAATTCCCCTCTTCATAGCCGCTCATGACTATTTATAGAGTTCATAGCACGTAACTGACGTGTTTGAATTGTGGGTAGAGGACGTAATTGTCTCCTTCAATTCAGCCCACATTGGTTAATGTGGCGTAACATGCTCCTAAATTTTAGTCCATGTGGCTAACTAAATCTTTAGATCTCTTATAGCTGGATCTTCTACGGATGACGAGCCTCACTGCATGGCGAGGTTCGTCAGATTGGACGAGCCTCAATATACAGCAAGGTTCCTCTTATGAGGCAATCTCTGCAGTATAGCAAGCTTCTTCTGACGAACTTTATCTTCACTGACTTCGTCTGACGAGCTTTGTCGTCACTAATAAACTCCGTCTTTGATAACTAGGTTCAACGGCATAGCGATCCTCATGAACTTCCTTTTGACGAGCTTCGTCTTCACTGACGAGCTTTAAGTCTGATGATGAGCTTTGTCTTCATTGACGAGCTCCACCTCTAATGATGAACTTCGAACCTCGTTTCCAATGATGAGCTTCGTCTTTTGATGTCCAGTCTCGCTGCCTGGCGAGCCTCTTTCCTGATATGGATCCTCGTTGGGTGGCAAGTCTCATATTTGATTGAGACGAGGTTCATCCCCATGACGACCTTCATCATATCTTAAAGTTTGGCATTTTTTAATGCCTACAATTACAATCCATGAAAAGACACTCAACATGCAAACATATATTATAGTATAAATTACGGTAAAATTTCATAAATCTTTAGGGTTTTTGAACAAACTCCTCAACTACATAAATTGAAGAAACTCCTATGAACTTGCACCACGTGACATCTTTTACATAGTTATACTCCTGTTTGTTAAACGTAATTTCTGTATTTCCCTTTTCGGGTAACTATAGAAAAAAATTTGAAAAAGTGTACATTAGACTTTTTTAATCTCTCTGTTAACACAGTTTATAAGAAAAAAAAAGGTAGAGCATAACCTTTAAGCATGCAGTTAAGTTTGCTCCTGAGGATATGCCTACAAGCAAACCTTCTTCTCTTGCAATCCTTCTTGCATGAACCATTGCTTCCTCTGTGGTTACGGTTATGATCTCATCGACATGCGACAAATCCACATTCTTTGGAATGAGACCCGGCCCTATCCCTTGGATATTGTCACTGCTAAATAATGAGGTATCCTAGACGGAATTTTCCGTCTAGGATACCCAGAATTCCGTCTAGGATGCGTATCCTAGACGGAATTCCGTCTAGAATACACGTCTAGTTTGTTTTCGTCTAGAATGTAGTATTCTAGACGGAAATTCCGTCTAGAATACATCCTAGACGGAATATTCTAGACGGAATTCAAAACCGTCTAGAATACATCCTAGACGGATTATTCTAGACGGAATTTCCGTCTAGAATAATTCATCCGTATTCTAGACGGAATTTCCGTCTAGAATACTCATTCTAGACGGAAATTAATTTTTTAAATTTTTTTAATTTTTATTTTTTAAAAAGGCATCCTAGACGGAATTTGAGCATCCTAGACGGAATTTCCGTCTAGGATACTATGCTACAGTAGTTTTTTTTTTTTTTTTTACAAAATCTACTTTGGGTGCATGAACACAATATTGAACAACAAAAAATTATATTCATATCCAACACAATCTAATTATATTCCAATATCAAATCTCATTATATTCAAATAATACATTCACCAAAATAGTAGAGAGATACATAAATTGTTTACAAACTTTTACATAAATTATTTACAAGAGATTATGTATGCTCCATCGCACAACATTACGCACAATAGTTAAAAAAAATGATGGATAAGGTCATATGAATTTAAGAAATAGGAATACTCGGTGACTGCACATTGACATCCTATAAGGTAATTTTGTTCTGTTGGCATGAAGAACATGCTGCACTCTTGGGAGACTGAAGTAGAGTCTCCTCTCATAACTCATACAAACATCAACCCCGACGCTAATATGAGTAGCCTGAAATCATGAAAACCAGTATAATCACTGACCCAAAAACTTGAATAATCATTTAAATAAAGAAAATAGTTCAGCCCTAACTTGAAGCAATATTAACATATCTAACTTAAGAAAATAGTCAGTACCTTGCTCTTTGATGAATAAAAGTGAAATATAAATTTGATTTAGAACAAAAAGCAATGCATTACTTCTAAAAGTTCAGCCCTAAAGGAAAAATTCGAGATCCTGAGAAAAATATATCACCATTCAATAAGCAGAAGGTTCTATAGAAGTATGAAACAAAAATTGGCAATCAGTCACTAGGAAGTAGCCCAACACAAGCAAACTCAAATGCACAGCTCCTATTCTAATAACACAAGCAGTAACATTTTTCTTCCCTATTCTCTCAAATGCACAGCTCCTATTCTAATAACACAAGCAGTAACATTTTTCTTCCCTATTCTCTTAATTTGATCAATTTGAACAGGATTTAAAAAAAATTCCAATGAAAGACGATTTGACTGCACACAATTTATCAGCAATAATGTATACTTGCAACTAGAGTTTGCAGCATGAGCTTACATGTTTAAAGATGAATAATGAAAAATCAAGCTTGTTAGGAAGAGCATGTTGGATGGATATGTCTATACATGTATTGATGTCAACAGATCAATAAACATAATCTCCAACATAGAATAAAGCCATGAAGATATACTAAACTGGATTGGGCTGTGTGGCATCATGATAATTCGTCTCCTGTTGCTGATTTTGCCGAAAAGAGAATGTAAAAGTAAGTACACCAGTCCAATTTCTAATGTCTCAGCACATTGAACAATAACCTCAATCAAATGTAATTTGCATTTATATAAGGCTCAAAATTAACTTAATAAATAAATTTCTTTTTTTAGATTATTTACTTTTAATTTGCAAATCTTTCCCCAATAGAAATTTATATTTCTACCACATACCCCTTCCAAGTACTATGTAAAGCATATGAAATCCATATGATTCATAAAGGCCAACTTAAATTGATGCTTTTTTTTCTTTTTCAAAGAAAAAAATATAGGAGACAAATAAACTTTTATGAATTGAATTTCAAGGGTTGCTCTTGCACTCACTCCTTTTACATGTCCATGGATGTAAAACTAAAAACATGCATAAATATCTCTCTTCATATTAATACCTTTATAAAGTACAATATACTCTGCACGGACATGAAATCAAATTTTAAACAACTTAACGATGTTTTGCAACCATAGCATGTATTCTAATATATAGACCAAAACACAATCAACATACAAACAAGTGAACGTGTGCAACCGTCTAGGTCCTTTTCAAGATCCACTACACTACCATGAAAACATAATAATATTGAAGAATGCATATAACTTCAATGAAGAGAAAAACCTTATTCTGCCTGTTATCCCACCAATCAACCGGATTAGCAAAGAAAGCCTGCCAAAGCTTCTCAGTTGAACCAGAAGAATTGCCCCCATAGTTTTGAAATTTCCCCTCTGTAGTACACATATGCAACTTACATACTAGAACTTTGTGAAGAAATATCATAATTTACAATGTTGGGTTAGAACAATAGAGATATGAGTACCTGAACTCACTGAGTTTGACTCCGGGTTATACAATGACACTGCAGGGTAGGTCTTCTCAATAAAATTCAACTTCTGAACAACTACCTGCAACAATATACATGCCCCTTCAGAATCACAAATACTGTAACTGGCAGTAACGTGAGTAACCTAATAGCTAAACTCATGGAAGTGAATAAAAAACAAACCTTGTAATAAACCTGTGTTTTCTCATCGTCCCCCTGCACAGTATCAGACACGAGACGTCCTGAAACGTATATTTGCTGGCCTTTCTCAACATGCTGAAAAGCTACATGAGCTAGCTCATCCCAGAATGTTAAATTGACCCTGCAGCAGAGAAGACCAATACCAACACAAGCTCATTGCCAATTTTCCATCGAGGACTATTAAAAATACGACATTTAGAATTCAAACTATCCACAGACTGAAGAAATTGTACATAAACTCATTGATTTCTCAAGTCGCCAACAGTAATAAATTCCTTCTTCCTTCAAGATCATAAAACAATCCACATTACTAGCCTAATTTCAATGCAATGTTACAAGTTTAAGCTGTGATTACCTCAGCCCAATCCATAACAAAAGGATGATTGTTCTAACAGTTCGATCATTTTCCAAGGTTGTTCTTTAGTATAATTTTCATCATAATACCAGTAAATGCAAACATGCTTTAACTGCAGTTATAGTTCAAGCTGAAATGAGAGTATGCTTTAACAAGGTTATTGAGCAAACAGAGTTCAGTTTCTAGAAACATAAAGTGTAAAGAATTTAATACCTGTATTTTAAAAGTATCCTTTCATGAAAGAAAAAAAAAACATTCAGCAAAATAATGTTGCAATTGCTATATGAACTTTAGCCCCACTTTGAGACATTTTTTCTTTTTCTTTTAAACAAGAAACTAAGCAGAGGCAGATTAACTGAAGTTAATGGCTAAATTTGAAATTTAACTGACTACTATCAGATAGATGGTAGCATGAAATTTTCCAGTAGTAATATGATCACTTGATATTCCTCATCAAAGAAATTATAATGACAACCCAACAAAGCCCATATCTCAATATTTATCAAAACACAACACATACTGGATCTAACAATTGCTGGCAATGTTTAGCATTTATCAATCAATTTCAAACAAACACATTGTGACTTGATTCCAGAATCCACGCTCTGCAACTTAAAAAACCCAAATTTTAGGGTTAGGGTTAGGATTTGGTACCTCTCGAGGCGGCGGCTGAGAGAATGAGAAATTGACTTGGACTGGATCGCGAGCTTGACGTCATCGGGATCCATGACGGGTTTTCCCGCGTGATCGGAGTAGACTTGGGCGTCGGTGAGGACGTCGACGACGTAGCGGTAGCAGAGCTCGAGGAACTGGTGGACGACATGTGGCTCGTACTCGACACGTGGCTTGTCGGAGGAGCTCTCTGAACACACGCGCGTCACGTGGCTCGTCGGAGTCCGAGGTGGTGGTCCCGGCGACCCCGCCGTCGCTGCTGGGCTCTGGTTCCATTGTCTTGGCTCCCTCTTTGGCTTTGGAGCGGTTATGAGGAGGGAGAGGGAGAGGAAGGGGAGGCGGTGGAGGGAGGAGTCTGGGGTGAGGTTGAGGATGGAGAGGGAGAGGAGGGGGAGGCGGTGGAGGGAGGAGCAGGAGCTTGGAGTTGAAGATTTGGGGGATGAGGCGGGTGTTCCTGAAAATTTAGATTTTAGGGACGAAAATTCCGATTTTGGGGGGAAAGGAGTGGGGTTTTGACGGGCTTATTTTTTTTAAATGGTCAGTTATTCTAGACGGAAATTTCCGTCATACTATTCTAGACGGAAATTTCCGTCTAGAATATCTGGTTTTTTTAAAAAAAAATAAAAAATAAAGAAACCGTCTAGGATACTATTCTAGACGGAATTTTCCGTCTAGAAAAATAAAAAATAAAGAAACCGTCTAGGATACTATTCTAGACGGAATTTTCCGTCTAGAATGTTTTATCCTAGACGGAATATTCTAGACGGAATATTTCCGTCTAGTTTAATACATTCTAGACGGAAAAAATTCCGTCTAGAATATTCCGTCTAGAATACGTGATTTTCTACTAGTGTGTAGGGCCCCGGTACCCCCTGTATAAAATTATCAAAATCCATAGCTATGATTTCAGTAAGTCATAAGCTAAGAACTTATGGTTATGGTTCCTTTGTTACGTATTTAATGAGTATATGAGTGGAAAATAAACTGAAGTGTCCTGAGTCCGGATCACATTTACTGTAGAATCCTCTATACAAGTTTGTACCAAATTAAAACTACTTCTTTTCTCTGATTCCAAAATCAAAATTACCTAAAAGGACTGCACTTTCTGCAGGTTCAACGCAAATTATCTTGATATCGGGATTTTTCATTTTCAGATATTTTCCGACTGCACTTTCTGCAGGTTCAACGCAAATTATCTTGATATCGGGATTTTTCATTTTCAGATATTTTCCGGCACCGGTCAATGTACCTCCTGATCCAGTACCACTTACAAAGATGTCTACTTTGCCAGCCGTGTCATTCCAAATCTCTGGTCCTGAAATTCGATGTAATAGGTTCCAATTAGAACTCTTGACAATTTATTATAATCTTTATCAGAGTGATCATTATAAGAGATAGAAATAGCTAGACAAAAAAAATTCTTCAATGGAAATTAATTTTACTTGAAAGATAACAAACCTGAGTTACTTATGTAAGCATGTTATGACAAACTGGATAAAGGATACTGATGCCCAACTATCAGAGATAAATATCATTAATGAAGTATTCAGGAGATTAGATAGTGAATAATCTGAAGAAACACAACGCAACGTAAAGAAGCATCAACAAAGTAACTAAATATTACATTATGTACTAAACATCCAGATTTGGGATTTGTAAGATGTCGATCAAGTCACTTATTCTGGTATGAATGGATGCTCTCAAAATCCATTCAACTACCACAAACTTCAAAGCTATCATATCCCTGCAGATTCTTAGTACTTTTCGTGGACCTAAACTTGAGCTTTTTTTACATAGTCATACCTTTTCTTAATATGCTTCAAGTACAAGCCCGGTGAAATTTGAACCTGAATTATTATCTTACTAAAACCCTTCCAGTACGCCAAATTTGGAAGTTGCACTAAAAACTTCGGGCATAATTATATTTACAACATTAGTCTGCCTACTTGCTTGACTAGCAAAATGGCATGTTCTGATTCTCTTCAGGAATGAAAAATTGCAATGAACTAATTGGAATATATCGCTAAGAATTAGAAAAGTTGTATAAAAGTACCGGTGCCTGTGAAATGTGCATCAAGATTTGCTGGATTGGTAAACTGATCAAGAACATAAACATTTGGATCCTTCTCTTTCAGCTGCTCAATTCTTTCAACCATTCCCTGAAATCCAAGTTTAGGATCTACGAAAACACCAAGCAATAAAATCTATAATTAGTCAAATGGTATTACGAATCGAAAAAAGAAAAAAGGCTATCTGAATATAATTGCAACATATAAATAAAAGAAAGAACAAGAAAATCACAATATGAACTTTCTCCTCTACAAAAGTCTAGTCCACCGTATCAAAACTCCAAAATATGGATCAAAACAAGACATCACAGGTTCAACACCCCTTTCTTATGAACAAATTAAACCTGAGCTTTTTTATGCAATGTTAATTTTTTAAGTTTGCTTTAAAATACACACCCGTTCAGCTATGAGCATGGATTGCTCTGATACCATCTCCACTTTCTTATAATCAAAAGTAACTTCCAACAATGATATATATTACGAGAACAAGTAGGAAGTATAGTAATCAAGTAATTCTTTTGCATAAATTTGCGCAATATAATCCAAATTCTCCTTTTAAAAGGGTAATGATACAAAACTCTCCTAAATTTTGGGGTGTTTGCGCAAAACTCTATGCTGCATGAATTGGAGAAAATCGGCATGAACTTGATTCACTTGAATCCTCTGAGTGATGGAAAATATTTTAAGTTGTCATGTGCAAAATTATCGAGATAGTTTTTTAGATTAGGATTAATAAATATAAATAAGAATAGTTTAGAAGTCCACCTGTCTATGACAATTTCAAATAGTTCAGTTGGATTTTGTAAAATTTTATAAGTTTTATAGGTGGTTCTGTGTAGAACAACTGAAAGTCTCGAGGCTATGAAATTTACCTTTTACAACAAAAAAAGTGTGGAAAGAGAGCCAATAAAGTTCATTATAATAAGATATTCTTCCTCACCAGTTATTGAAACATCGGAGCCTAAATATCTCAATAGCATCCTTTTATCAAGTGAAAAATGAGCAGGCATGACTCCTGTGAACTTGTAACCTTTTCTCGCAGCTATATAAAGCCAAAGCAATCCCTAAATTTCCACCTGTGCCTTCAACTAATATCGTGATCCCAGGTTTAATCAGACCCTTCTCCTCAGCATCCTCCATCATTCTACAGAAAAAGAAAATATATGTAATTAATGTGAGAAAATATTTTATTACACTGCTTATAGTAACTTAGAGTAGAAGAATCACTTGATAGGTTGCATGAAATCATCACACCAATGCTCTTCTCATTATTTGAGTAACCAGGCCAAGATGGCCAAGAAATTTATTAACTAGAGAAAATAGATGCAGAGTATACATAAAGAAGAGAGAAAAGCACAGTAGGATGTGTCACTCCCCCAAAATGCAAATCTTATTTTAAAATACATGACAACGGCAACACATGCACAAAGTGTAAGTACCCTAATGTTACTATAGGAAGGAACCCTAGAGGGGGGTGAATAAGAGGGGTGAATAGGGTTTATGCTAATCTAATCTGATTTATGTTAAATTAAAACTAATTAATAAATATATCCTAGCAAATGAAATATGAACAATATATGTGCAAGAATATACAAGTTAACACAAGGGTGAAATAAAAAATAAATAAACAAGAGTGATAGTGCACAAATAAACAATGCAAACACACGATATGATCACAAAGTTCGGACCTTCCGTCCTATGTCTCCGCTCCCCACTCCCGGTGAAAATTTCACTATCACACCAGGTTTTTAACGATCACCCGAAAACGTTTACACCACACAATATCGGTTTTCAACGCTCACCGATCAATGTTCACAATCTCACAATATAACTACACTAACTACCACCTCAAGTGTTGGTCTATAACTCGTGTCTCCCTCAAGTGTTAGAAATTATAACCTCTCTCTAGGCATTACCACCTACCCCACTCCTCTTGGGACGATATCGTCTCTCACCACACTCTCCTCTTAGTGTACTAGTGTATTACAAAGTAAATCCTCACAATTAGGCATGATTACAAAAAAATTATTCTTTACAATAGATGAGAACTCAATGTAGGCTCACTCTCTAAGTCACACAATCCCACAATTCAATTATACAATGTATGCAAATATAATAAGCTCAATGGTTGTGTGTGTAAACAAAGAGTATCAATAAAATAATTAAACTCAATAATAAAATCTAGCATATGGAAATTGAATCAAAACAATAAAATAGCTAGAATTGAGTTTAAGGAAACTTCTCTTTAGATAACAAGAGAAGGAGAAGAGTGAATGTTCAAACACCAAAGGATGATCTCCACTTTGCACTTGTGAAAGTTTCTTCACAAACTAAACTCTTGAAACAAACTAAAACCAAACATAAAACCCTTGTAAAACTTGTTTTAAACACTTCTTAATTAACCTCAGAAGTATGAGGGCATGGGGTATATATAGGCTCATGAAATAACCCCAAAAACCAAGAGAAAACATTACAAAAAGATAAAATAACAGAAACTAAAAATTCTGGAAAACTAGCCGTTATGATGCCGTTAGTCGACTGATACTATTCATCAGTCGACTGATGAGCTGAATGTTATAGGACAGCAACACATCATCAGTCGACTGATGAACTCGTCAGTCGACTGATCAGTCGATCGAAACAAAACAGAAACATTTTTGCAATTGCATGTACTTTCTTCAATCGACTGACCAGTCGACTGATCAGTCGATTGATAACAGGTTATCAGCCTGAAATAATTTTTAAAAACAAATTTTAAAGTCTTTTTAAAAATAACAAATAAATTCTAAAAAATATAAAATTTTGAAAAAAGTTTATAAACATGATTTATGAACATGTTGGATAAGGAATTTTTTAATTTGCTCTTACCATTTGTGAAATCTCAAAAATATTCAAAAACACTAAAATACATGTTGTGAAATCTCAAAAATATTCAAAAACACTAAAATACATGTTTAATAAAACATGTGATTTTTGATTTTTGACTCAAAACAAGTTTTGAAAACTTATGGAATATTTATATGGACATAATAAAAGATATTTATGATGTAAATATAGTCCAAAACATATTAAAACATATTTTGCATAAAAACACCTATATTTGAGAAAATTCACAAATGAAATGTGTGTGTATATTTTAGCATATAGAATTAACACACATTATATAAACCCTAAACTAATTTACCCAAGCTTGATAGATCTTCATTGTAGCTTGTCTTGGTAAACATGGAAGAAGCTTGAACTTGGATCTTGACTAGTATGCATAGGCTTCATTCTACTATTCCACCAACCTCTAGTTGATGTGATCGTGTAGGCTCAATCCATCCAACCTCTAACATATTGTTTGTCTAGAATAAATACAAAACACAAACACTAGATAAACAATATTAGTTATAAATTATTTGTTAATTATTATCAAAATAAAAAGACCCAACAATCTCCCCCTTTTTGATGATGATAAACAATTTATAAAAAGAGATATATGCATGAAAAGAAATTAATATGTAAATTAGAATTATCATGCATATAACCAAAACAAGATATACTCATAATATTTCTTCCCCTTTGATAACATCAAAAAGGGAATAATGATAAGCGAGCGAAGGCTCCCACTACTTACAAGTACGATGAGTATAAACACAATAAAAGAAATAGGGATGGCTCCCCCTATCAAAATGCCTTATGGAATATATAAAATGAAGTACAAGGCAAACATGTGAGCAAGAATAAACATGCTAAATATCACTCACATTCAAAAAGGCAATGAGAACACAATTAGATATGTCATTATGAAATAGTGTCAATATCACTCACATTCAAAAAGGCAATGAGAACACAATTAGATATGTCATTATGAAATAGTGTCTCATGGCAAAAACCTATAAACCATGTTGGCAATGAGAACACAATTAGATATGTCATTATGAAATAGTGTCTCATGGCAAAAACCTATAAACCATGTTTAAAATAGATTTATGAAAACAAGAGAATAGAAAACATGAGAATCATGAAAAAAGTTTTCGAATGAAAACAAATTACTCAAATGAAATCATAAATCAAGATTTAAATCATAAAACAAAAGTTTTTCAATACCAAGAAAAATAAAACATTAAAAAATCTTGGTTTAAAAAATTAAATTTGTTTTGGTACCCAAGTGTTCTTGGTACGAAAAGGTTTAGGGACATGACCCCTATCATTTAAGCTCAAAGCCCTTGGGTTATGAACCCATTTGGGTGTATTTAGTGCACTAATTCGGTCATAACAATAATTACTCAAATGTCCCTTTCGATTACAATGAGTGCAATGAAAGAGGCCCATTTGTTTTTGTGGACCATATGAGTGTGCACGGGAAACATTAGAAACATTTGCAAACATGAATGGTCTTTTAAAATTATTTTGCAAATGTTGAACTCTCATTAAATCAAAACAAAATTTGGCCAAATGATGAAATCTACCACAAAAATCACATTTAACCACATTAACATGCTTATGATGTACATGATGAGTATGCTCATGTGTATGTGATGAAGAAGGCTTATGAGATGCACAAGAAGCATTGATATTAGCATTTTTAGATTTTTGTGCATCATAGCAAAATTGAGCTAGATGGCCTTTTCGGCTGCAAATGGAACATTTGTAAATTTTACTATACATATGTGCATAGTGAGTGTTGGATTTGGAAGAATTAACACGTGACTTTACACATAAGTCCATAAGTTTCTTATGATTATTAATGCATATTTTAAAAGTTGAATCTAAAGATAAAATGCGTTTATTCATAAGATTTAAATCTTTATTATTAGATACATATGCATTTTTATTAAAAGTAGAACATAAATAATCATTTATAAAAGAAGCAGTATCATTTTTTATGTTTTCTACTTCTAACATGACATTATTTTTAGCATGAGATAAGCTAGTGATGAATGAGGTTAATTTTTTATTTTCCAAATTTAACATATCATTGTTTTCTTTAAGATTTTCATTTTCTTTAACAATGATATCAAACTTGGATACTAGTTTCTCATGATCGGATTTTAAATCTACATGCTTCCTTTTTAAATTTACATAATTACGATGCAATTTGTTGTAGGATTTCATTAATTTCCCATATGCACATGCGAGATTAACAATAGATGATTCATTATCGGGTTCGGACTCGCAAACCTCACTAGGGCAATCGCCTAGTGCCCGTGTGCACGATGATGCTCCATATTAACTTGAAGAAGAATCCTCCAAAGCTTATCGGATTGCCTCCAAGTTCCCTTGATGTACTTCAATAAATTTCCATAATTTGTAAGAACTATCAAAATGAACAAATTTGTTAGAGAATGATGAGTCAAAAGTATTAAGAAAATATTTTAACAAAAGCTTGTTCATATTAAACATTATTTTATTATTTTTACTCCACTTGGATTTTTTCGAAGTGGGTACAATATAAGCATCTTGAATAACTTCCCATAAATCGAATTGTCTAGATCTAACAAATATATTAAATCTAGAGCACCATTGGTCATAGGGAAAATTATTTATTCTAGGAGCAACATTAGGATCATAGCCTAAACAAGGTGCACAATGCATGTCCATAATATTTATATGTATGCAAGCAAGACAAATACAATCAAAACTAGATTAGCACAAAAGAGATAACTTGGATCTTTAACTCAAGTTGATTAGACCTTAAATCAAAGAGCACTAAGCTCTGATACCAAATGTAAGTACCATAATGCCACTAGGAAGGAACCCTAGAGGGGGTGAATAGGGTTTATGCTAAGCTAATACGATTTATGCTAAATTAAAACTAATTAACAAATATATCCTAGCAAATGAAATATGAACAATATATGTGTAAGGATATACAAGTTAACACAATGGTGAAATAAACAAGAGTGATAGTGCGCAAATAAACAATACAAACACACGATATGATCACGGAGTTCGGACCTTCCGTCCTACGTCTCCGCTCCCCACTCTCGGGGAGAATTCCACTATCACACTGGATTTTCAACGATCATCCGAAAATATTTATACCACACAATATCGGTTTTTAACGCTCACCGATCAATGTTCACAATCTCACAATAAGCTTAATGTTTGTGTGTGTAAACAAAGAGTATCAATAAAATAATTAAACTCAATAA